TCAATTCATTTTGATTTGAGAAAGCACAATTTTCTTTTGGATTTTTATTTAATTATCTTAATTTGTTTTTTCTTCCAAAAAAATTAAAAAGTTTATTTGATAATCCTGTAACTCACAAGAACCAAAAAAAAGAAAAGAAGTCTAAGCAAAACAGTCAGTAGACATTATTTTTAATCCAAGAATTTTGGGAAAACTACTATATATTTTAATTACAATCAAACGATTCTCTTTCTTTTGCAAGAGTGGATACAGACTGATCAATTATAATCATTTATTTAATCATCCTCTCTCTTTTTAAAAGAACTGTGTATGTCAAGTTTGGAAAAGATTATTCTTAAAATTACATTTTTATTTTCAAAAAAGGGGGATGTCACATCTTCACCCGTCACATGAGGGCGCTATACACTTGCCTAACAAAACGAAGCAGCTGTGCGTTTTCCCGTTCCTTGGGCCACATACTTACAATAGTCATAGATAGTATGGTACAAACACAATACACATGTATATGTACCTTTATCATGCTACCGCCATTTCAGTCCTGAACGATAGTGATTTTGGGCAAAAAGTAACCAGACTGTTTTTCCTTCCAGCCTCGCTTTGGTTACCTTGTTTTGAACGGGAAAAAAATAAAAATGGCCGCAACATGATAATTAGTGGTCTATAGTCCACAATATAATGACCCTTGCATAAAGCTTTAGCTTTTAGCTCAAGCTCGGTCAAGCAGTGAACCTTAGTGTTGTTAACTGGATTTTCACCTGTCACTCGTGCATGATTTGACTCTTGTAACACGTCTCAGGAAGACAGCTCCTTGCAGTCGCAGCCCAGCGAAGTAAATCAAGAAATCCTGTCAGCCATTCAGGCCCTTACCAACTTGCGAGTAGAGTCTGACCGCAAAAAAAAAAAGAATAACAAAATAAATAAATAAATATCGAGGCAGATTCCCCTGCTTAATGAAGATTCCGATTACTATGGAACAGCTCACTTGATCGTTGGGGTGACCAGAAACTGACCAGAATTTGTTTCAGTAAAAGCTAATCCACCCACAATTTCAGGGTTGGAACAACCCGTAATGTTAAAAAGCTGTTTACTTCACAAACCTTACAATGAAAATAATACTACGCTTGTTTCCCTCTTATTAAATGACTCGGGATGCCGCATAACCGCGGCCTAGGGCCTAATTAAATTGTTACTCAAGCTTAAAGGGACACTGCGTCATGGATCAATCCAACTGGGCTACAAAACGCGCTTTAAATGAAATGATGTTAATTGGAAAGAAATTTAAAAAGTAGGATATAAACATCCACACATATAGGCTTACAGGCAAAACTTTATTCAAGAATTGGTCCTGCCATTTGGGTGTCGTTCCTGTAAATCTCTAGATATGGGTTATTCCATACAGCTACCAACTCGTGACAGGGCATTCAATTATAATTTTAAAATATTGACATTCCTTATTAGTTGTAGCAAAAATCAGACATTGGTCGAGCTAGCTCGAGATGGCCTGCTTAATATTCATAAATCATTCATTACGCGTTCGCGCGCGCTATTCACAATTTTTTTCAGGCCTACGCAGCCATATGGTTGCGAAGGGCGATTTCTAAAGGTTACTTTTGAATGAAACTACATGTACACAGACATGTTCACGTTGACGGGTGAAACCTTTGAAAAATAATTTCTCCCGTTGGGAAGACCGTATCGTTTTGCAATTTTCAGGATTCATTTCCCCTATAATGATCCAAGTATGTGCTAATAGTCGTTGTGATGTGTTTATTACCTTTCGTTGAAATTTGAAAAAGAGGCCTTGCTACGTGCAATTTTGAAAATTGTAACACTGACGTGCGCAATATCTATCAATCTTTTCAAGCCTCACGAATATTATTGAGGTTCCTATCCATTAAGGTGTCCAGTAAACATATGCATAAAAGCCTCCTTCACGAGTTGTTAATTAACAAATATCACCCTTTTTGCCGGCTTCCATTGGTCGATACCGAGACCCAAGCCATGTCACGCCGAGTGACGCAGCTTATGAATATGTTAATATGCCGGTCATCATTGTGTGCCGGGCAAAAATCGATCAGCCGTAGCATCTACGGCGCTTTGCGGAACAATGCACATGGGTTGGGTCGGCAAATAATTTTTCAGATCGTCTTCAAAATTTCCTTAGAGGTGGTTCAAAGTGTAACACTAGCGTCCGCAACAACAGATTAAGCTGATATTCTGAATATACTTCGATTATATAAGTGTTCAATTATCTGGTGAAATAACAACTTGGGTAAATTCCTAGAAATTGGGATAAATGCATTTGGAGAAGTTTTCGAACGATTTCTTCCAGACTTGATGGTCAGCTTTGACAGTAACCAGTATCGACGTTTCGGCATCGATGGCGGCGATTTTTTTCACTGACATGAAGTTTAAAATTCTTTCTTCAGTTAGAATGTGACATCGCAATCATACCGAGCATATTTTCTGAGAAACGAAATGTTCAAAAGGCCATGTTTTGGTGGGTTCACGAATCTCAATGCTCTGTTACAGTGTCTTAGTACGTAATCGGATTAGCCTTCCTCTACAACGACCGACACTTTGCCGTAGCAACCATATGGCTGTACGTACCTACGTCAGTACTTACGTATGTTTGCACGCTTACATGTAATTGCAAATCATGAAATCTCGCAAAAGTCTTCATTTTTAAACGGACGATTTGGACCAAAAATATAGAAGTCTCCTGCACGTTTTTCACATAAGAATGAAGCGTACACTATCTATTTACTGAAACCTTGCCATTTCTTCATGTACACCTAAAAACAAACGGCCCTCACTTTTGTTGCTATAAAATATGATTTTTGTTTGACAGGTCGTAACGTCTTAACGTCGCCATCTGGGCCAAACAGTGCATGTATCTAGAACTGTTCTTGTTTTTTGTAGTCTTGAATACAGACTCGTAAAAACTCTCGTAGGCTTTTGGGCCATATATGCATGACATGGGGACAAGAAACTGAGGTCAAATAAGGCTGTGTGCGTGACACGGCCACTGACTGGTCCCACCTAGGCCTGGATTACCTAATGGGCACACTGTGCCTAGGGCCTCGACAAATTCGGGGCCTACTAGAAATTAGTCTATGTAATAAATTACATATGAACAGATTCGCTGATCTGTATTGCAAGGTACTGCTTCTTGACCTTTTAGATATTGACCAATCAGCGGGCGTTTTTTTTACATCGGGTCTTCGGTCATTCAACCTTTGCGCGTCATAGACATGGATAAAAAAAACACGTGTCACGCGCTCTGTATCATTTACGCAATATGCGCCCGGCTGTTGTATTACAAAACACTGCATTCGAATTGACCAATCAAACCATTAGTCCTGAGTTGGGAATGAAATTACCTTACTATTTAGTAAAGTCGACTCCAATTGGCTGGCGCGCGGCTTGAATATATCTGCATGTTTCGAAATATCAGACGTTATACACAACACTTAGCTCTGTGGAAAACCGATGATACTCAAACAAACGAGAAATGGGGGGCCTACGGAAATACCGTAGCGTGCAATGAAACACATGGGACTATTCTGCACACTCGCATGTTTACGTTACATACCAAGTGGGGACATTCCCTTGGTTTCTTGTAGTGAAGAAAAACCAGTGAAAAAAACCTCTTTTTCTCAAACTGTGAAAACGCTTTCAACCCAATTTTTTTCTATGATCCTCTTTAGTGTTTCTCTTCATTTTACCACGGATAAACCTAACAAAAAAATGCCTTTAAACCTGTTTTCCAGAAATAGGAAAACACTATGTGGACTTGCCCAAGTCCACACAACGTCGTCTCTACTTGGTTTATGTGGACCTCTTTTGCTCGGAAGTCCACGCAGTGAATGTAATGGCTACCCACAACTCATACACACCTGTGTAAATGCCGGCAATTTTTTAGCGACAGCTCTCATTGGTTTTGTACACGATTTGAGATTGTGGACGTTCGGTCAATCGTGGACGTATTGTTTGCGCCCCAATTCTTTTGTCCTACGTCCACGATTGCCGGTGTTTACAAACCCACGCTAACACAGGCATTTTTAGTACAATCATGCTTATTGGTCTTAACAAATCGACATGGCACTTGAAATATGATGGTTTTGTCATGTTACATTTGATTCAACACTTATTATCTCCTCAGGCCACGCCCCCAATGCAGCCTCAATAATCTGTCTTAGAAAGTCATGTAATGTTACATGGAATTGGATTTAAAATGACAACATAATGAATCCTAACCTGAAGTTTGTGGATTTATAGTGTTAAAGTTCATTTAAACTTGTGTATGCCCTAGCCACGCCCTAGGCCGCATCCTAACCACTCCTCACCCAATTCCTACATTTTTTAAGGCTATTATAATGCTTCATGCCTCTTAACAGGTAAATGTGGGACATCTATATTAACATTTGTGAGTTTGTGTGTTTGTTTTAACTGCGCGCACACCATATGTATTGATAACATATCAGTAAATAAATAATCGATATCCAACATTGCCCAACCCTGCGAAGGTGTCATCATTCAAATTCTACAAAAGTTTGATCTCCTTGCATAGAATATGCAAGAAGAAATATATGTTAGTATCCAACAAAACACAGTTCTCTCTCTGGCTGCTGGACTACAGTACGTTATGTGTTGTAATTGCCACACTAATAAGTGAGGTCGGTAGATCAACAGCACAGATGGGGTAGTCGTATCGGTGGCACCAACGATGTTCCAGGAAATCTATATGTAAATACAAATGTAATATCAATAGTTAGAAGTCAGTTGGTTGAATTACATTTTGTTTTGCACTATTGAAGAAAATTGAGAAATTCCTCACAAATACATACAGACACGCACCAATGACAAGCCCAGTGGGTCATATTACATGAGCAGATGTTAGACATCATAAGCTTCTAAATTGACTACTCAGCGGGACTTGAATTACCCATTCATCATTATTTGCATTGTCATTCATTGTAAAAATGTCATGCTAAGAACCAACGTTTTCTCCAAACTAGCATACATAATTGTATACCTTCATAAGTGCGATTCTGCAACTGATTCGAGTACAGTGTGTGTCTCTGATGATCAAGATGAAGTGCCTTCTGATAGCTCTTTTTGCCGTGGTGGTCCAGTGCTGCCTGTTTGCTGCAACCGCACACGCCGACAGTGACTGCGATTCGTGTCTCGAAGCAGCTCTGCGTCCGTTATATAGCCAACTGGACGTCTTTCGAGACCAACTGGATGCGGTCCATGTCTCCTGTACGAAAGGTAGGTGCGATATTTTTGTAGGGACAATTTTTGTCATGCCGAAACCGCTTTTAACTTAGTCCCATTTGTCGTGTTGAGGGTGGGCTTTTAGGCTGATATATTACGGCTTCTAAACACCATAGCCGTAAAAATCGAGCGTAGCGTTCGCCCAAAATAACTGTCGAAATGTTCGCCCGGGATCTCTTGCCTTCCAGCTCCTAAAAACTGTTACTTTCGAAGCTTATTTATAAAAAAAAAAAACCAGATAAAATCATATTTTCGGACAGTGCTCTCCTAAAATGGTCCCATCGTGAGCTGTTTGCACTTTTTACCATCTTGATAAGATGGGTAAACAAGAAAAAATACGGTTGGTCCCAAGTTTAAACGTATTCGTGTTCCCTGGGGGTATATTGCTTCGAGGACACCCACCAAAACATATGACTTTGAATAGACGATTTCAAACAAGTACATTTAAAACCGACCTGGTCGCGGATAATGCCCAGAGCCGAAGGCTTCTTCTTATTGGGCAAAAAAGTCAAAATAAGTTATATTTACAAAGTCCAAACGATTTTGTTCAACAATTTTACTTGCTGTTTGTTAAACACCCCTCTAGCTCTGTTTATGGTAAGTGAGTCACGCGCCCTGTCGCGCGCACTGCGCGCACTGCGCGTACTGCTCGATGTGGCGCAGGACAGAGCAGTGTTTTACCTTTGGTTTAAAACCATCCACGTGACGGGCTCTCGGCCACTGGGAATGCCTAAACTGCCTCAGGTACTTATGAACAAAATTTAAAGAGAAATCAGAAAACTTAAGAAAATTCTTATTAAAATGTCAGGAAATCACAGGGAAATTCAATTTTCGAAATTGGTAGAACTGAGATAAGGAGAGGACGGAATCTGCACCCGCCTGTTAGCTCCACAAACGATGGCTCTTTTAGGGAAAGACTGGTGTGATTGCTTCAATGAACCCCGCCCCACCCTGATCGATTGTTTTCCCATTACCTCCTGCAGATGTTTTGGACTGCTCTGAGGTTGGACCCCTTGGGATGGAAGATGGCCGCATCCCGGATGCAAGCATCACAGCCTCGACTTTTTTTTATAACCTAGCTAACTATGCGCCCCACAGGGCTCGTCTTAACTTTCAAGGTAAATAATTAATTAATTTGTATTAAGATCGCGGACCATCACATGTTGCGAACCGTAAGACAACTCAAACGAAATGGTAAGGATTTACTAAAAGTCAGAAGTTGAAGAAGCACTACAAACGTTTTTCAGGGGTTGGGGGGTCGCTAACTTTAGAAATATTATCTCACTCTGCAAGTGCAGAACGGCCGCTGCAGGTATAGTGCTAAGACTTCCTTTGTGCTTATAGCTGAATTATCTGCTTAATATGTAGGCGGCATATCCTCTGCCTGGGCAAGTGCTGGATCTAGTGACCCCAATCCGTGGATCCAAGTCGATTTCGGTACGAGTGTGATTGTCACTGGTGTCATCACCCAGGGGCGTGGTGATTCGCCGTATGATAATCAACTGGTGAGCGAGTTCAAGGTTGCCTATAGTAACGACGGCCAGGAATGGACTTACGTCACTGCGGAAGGAGCAACCTCACCGAGAAAGGTCAGTAATTAATTACATTGATGTTAATGAAGGACCTTATAAGTCATATTTATGAGTGAATTGGGGCGGTGCAACGACAGTATTTATGGCGTATGATTCTAAGCAGATGTGAGTCCAATGTTTAATGACGAGGATAATATCAATATTTATGTTGCTACAATTTAAATATATAAACAGGGTAAGTAAAAAAACTAAACAAAAATGTCGGGACTATTGCTTTAGTGAAGTTCTTCATGTAGAACTTGCAAAATTTAGGATATGAAAGCCCAATTCATACGCTTTTTTTAGTACAAGAATCATTCAAACTCATGTACTTTTCAAGTTACGGAGTTTTAAACACAACCATAGTTTTAAAGTTCTGTCCACGAATTACAAAAAATGGTGTGCGTTCTTTCAGCAAAACAAAAACAATTCACACACATCCAAGACTGCAAACAGACCCGACTTGCACGAAAACATAACTTATATGGCCATTTTCTCAAACATTGCGGTCTAGATTCGGTCATCGAAGGCGAGTCCCAACCTCGGTCCCATGACGTCAAGCAGTACGCTACCCAGCAAACACTGCTGTGTTAACATTTTCTGTAAAGTCGTACCGATGTTATATCTATAACATTCGAAAATAACATTTTAATGACTATATAGCAACATCATGACATATACACAAACATTTTAATAACGTGATTTAAATGCCTCACATTTGACGTTTTATCATGTATGTTAAAGCGATATTATCAAAACGTTATTACCAAATGTTTTTAAAAAGATTTATGGAGGACATTTCATGACATATAGAGAAATGTTTTAAAAACGTAATCAAAATGACTCAAATTTGACGTTTTATCAGGTATGTTAAAGCGATATTGTCAAAACGTTTTTACCAAATGTTTTAAAAAGGTTGATTGATCAAATACCATGATATTATACAAAAAACATTTTAACAATGTGATTTAAATGCCTCATGTTTAACGTTCTATCGGGTATGTTAAAGCGATATTATAAAAACGCTGTTACTAAATATTTTTATAAAGATTTATGGAGGAATTATCATGATGTGTACAAAAACATTTTAAAAACGTGATTGAAATGCCTAAATTTTGACCTTTTATCTGGTATGTTAAAGCAATATTATCAAAACTTTATTACCGAATGATTTGAAAAAAAGATCTATTGAGAAAATTTCATGACATAACAAAAACGTTTTGAAAACGTAAAGGAAATGCCTCAAATTTGACGTTTTATCAGGTATGTTAAAGCGATATTATCAAAACGTTATTACCAAATGTTTTTGAAAACGATATATGGAGGTAATTTCATGACATTACAAAAACGTTTTAAAAACGTGATTTAAATGCCTCAATTTTGACCTTTTATCAGGCATATTAAAGAAATATTATCAAAATGTTATTACCGAATGTTGTGAATAAAAATATTGATGACATTTCATGACATAACAAAAACGTTTTGAAAACGTAATTAAAATGCCTCAAATTTGATGTTTCATCAGGTATGTTAAAGCGATTATCAAAACGTTTTTACTAATTGTTTTAAAAAGATTGATCGAGAAGTATCATTATATTATACAAAAACATCTTAATAACGTGATTTAAATGCCTCATATTTGACGTTTTATCAGGTATGTTTAAGCGATATTATCAAAACGTTATTACTAAAAGTTTAAACAGGATTTAGGGATGCAATATCATGATATATACAAAAACATTTTAATAACGTGATTGGAATGCCTTAAAATTTGACGTTTCATCAGGTATGTTACAGCGATATTATCAAAACGTTATAGCCAAATGTTTAAAACTAAATTTCGGAATGAATTATGATATGTACACAAACCAAACATTTTAATAACGTGATTTAATTTCCCCGACATTGATGTTTTACCAGGTATGTTTAAGCGATATTATCAAAATGTTATTACCACAATTTTTGTAAACAATATTCCGTTGAAATGTACACGTTACATCATCTTAATGTTTTTTAATAATTGTATTATGTTTTCACAACATTCCTTAAAAAAATGCATGGAACATTATTTTAACGTTAAGGCCTTAATGTTATCCATTAATGTTATAGCGACGTAGTCTTGGTGATGTTATTATTGCGTTTTCACAACATTCCTGCAAAATGTGCAAGTAATGTTATTATTTTGTTTAACTCATTTTTGTAGGAAAGTCGTAAGAAAGAAGTAATAATGTTTCTAACACCATGTCGCCATAACATTTTTGCAAAATGTCACGACAACAATAGTTGTCATTAAAATATTATTTTGATGTTAAAGCATAATGTCAATATAACGTAATAAAAACATCACACAAACGTTTTACATTAATGTCAGGAAGGTGTCGTTAAAACGTTATTAAGACCATGTCGCCATAACATTATTGCAAAATGTCATGACAACATTAGACATTACATGTTTACCACGTTATTAAAATATCTCATATAACAAGAGTTTGAACATTCAAGTGAGCCCTGAGGACGAGGTTGGGTGTGTCATATATTTAATCGATGCAGTATGTAACAGTTTGTAGAGTGACGCGTTAACAGAGGGATCCCACACAGTAAGAAAAAAAGCAAGGAAACAAACACCCCCCCCCCCAAAAAAAAAGACGCCCATCAGGCAATTTAAGCTATTTAATATTTTAGCAAATTTAACATGTGGTCCTACAGAAGATGGAAATTTTTGCCAACTTATTTAAATTTTTCCTTGGGCCGACACGAAAATGTCCCGACAAAAAGTCGATTAAACAATTAAACACCTGCCAAACTTTCAACGCTAGTTTGTAAATCCTATCCATATTTTTTATTCCACAGTTCCCTGGAAACTTGGAAGGACACAACTCTCAAGTGACCACCACTTTCCCGAAAGCCTTTCAGGCTAAGTTCCTGCGTATCCTGCCTACGAAGTGGGGCGCACACTGCAGTATGCGCTTTGAGGTCCTCGGCTGCGAAAGTCATGAGTAATTCCGTCGTTGCTAGCTTGGGAAAACCTAGTTGTAGTACTTGGTTGAAATTTGACAAACTGGAGCGGGGGATATGTATGTCATAGATACGTGGTGTTAAATTGTAAGAATGTTTCAGTCAAAACATAAAAGCACAGGAATATTTGCAGTTATCGAGAAACATACCCAGCGATTTAACAAGAAAATCCTCGCTCAAAAAGGAAGATAGGTCTGGTAACAAATTTCCTGCCTGAAATGGTATCATTCGGTAAAAACAATAATCGATAGTGGGCACAAAAATTGTGTATTCCTTCCTTTTGTATCTCAAAATGTATAGTGTCCACTGAGCCGAAACTTCAACAAGTCACTTGTTATGCACCCTTCTTAAGATTAGAGCGATTTTGTTGCTCAAACGGGGGGGGGGGGGGGGGGGGGGGAAGATGCACTAAAAGCCAATGATCCGTTGTACCTTTAACATGCCCCCAAAAGGCATTTGCACTTCTTGTACTTTTCCAGAGCCCCCCGTTCGAACTTGTTCCCGATTTTGTTGCTCAAAAGGAGGGGGGGGGGATGCACTAACAGCCAATGATCCGTTGTACCTTTAACATGCCCCCAAAAGGCATTTGCACTTCTTGTACTTTTCCAGAGCCCTCCCGTTCGAACTTGTTCCCGCCTCCTGCATTCTGAGTGAGGGCTACGATTGAATGACCCGAAACCAATCTAACAGTAGACCAAGATTTATGGCACAGACCTTTCCACATTTTGAATTGTCAAATTTCCAATCAGCATTAGCAGCAGGGGTTTCCCATGCTACATTGATGACGGCAAAAGAAATCGATTGAATGAAAACTGATGGTTAACAGGAACTTAAATTTACCCTTTTTCGAGTTTTTGTTCAGATTTTTAGATTCTTAGTGGCACAACAGTAATAAAGTACAGTGGCATGTATTTACATATGTAATATCATTTTTTCCTTGTAGTAGAATAATGGTGAAAGGGATATTTTCGCAAGAACAGCTAGAATTTGATTTGTTTCACTCAAAATACAATACTCTTAAAGGTTAAGCATGAATCTCAGTAACTGGTGGAAATAGATAAAAACCAATTGTAAGTGGAAATATTCCTTAGCAAATTGTTTTGGGGTTTTTTTTCCCTTCTATTTTCTTTTTCCCCTTTCCTTTAACTTTTGAAGTGGTTAAAGGTAATCGACACCATTTGCAAAAACTCAAACATAAAACTATCAAAATATCATGAATTATCCTACTTATTTTTTTATAAAATAAAAGGATATAAAGCATCCTGTGAAATATTTTCCACCCAGTATTCTGTCTTTTTTCCAGGCAAAGAGAATGGCCATCATTTCCTCACGTTGGTTGGTATCAAACCTTCCAACAGTCAACAAAAACGTGCTTTGCGTGAGAAAAAAAAGATGCATTGTTACAGTTTTCTCAAAAGTATGACATCTACTGTGCATAATTTCGACATTTTCTTATTTTTTTTATAAATAACCTGCTTCAGATTTATTGTTGCTTGTTTCTTGAAAAGGCAAATATACACTTTTTCTGCAAATAGTGACCATTACCTTAAGGCCAATTAAATTTATTGAATATTTAGTCAGAGACATGATGGAGAAAGTTTGGCATATCACGACACAAGCCTTTTCTTCCACATTTCTTTTCTGTGTTAAATTTATATTCTTTCAATAAAAGCACTTTAGATAGAGTGTAAGCGTGCACCTGCAGTGTTGTGTTGTCTCTAGATATAATTTCTTACTGTTAGTAATCTGTTAAAGTTTCTCATGGCCTTTCGTGCATCTTTCAAGACTTACTTTGCGCTGGTCACAGAGGGCCGGCCTAGTGTGCTCTAAATCGACCGACCGAACGGCAGTGACCAACCAACAGGACCAGACTGACTGCCTCTTGTGATTTACACTGGAATAAGCCCGACCCGACCTGACCCGACCCCACCCCACCCGACCCAACCTGACTGACCTTACCTGACCTGACCTGACTGTCTCTTAAGATTTAAACTTGAAAAAACCCAACGCGATCCAACCCGACCCGACCTGACCTGAATGACCTGACTCGACGTGACCCGAATGACCTGACCTGACCTGAACTCAACTGACCTGAACTGTCACGCCTTGACCTAACTGACTTGACCGGCTGTCTAAGATTTAGAGTTGAATCAACCTGACCCAACCCGAACTGACCTGACCTGACCTGACCTGACCTTACCTAGCCGAATGACCTGACCTGACTTGACATAGCTGGCCTGATGGACTGTCTATTGTGATTTAGACTTGAATAGGCCCAATCAGACCTGACCTGACCTGACCTGACACAGCTGACATGAATGACTATTTCTTTAATCAGATTTAGAATGGGAAATTTGTCTGGGACCATCTTTACTTGACATGTCCATAGTCTTGTTTTCGTTCGTGGTTGTTGCCAACCAAATTTAGGCAAAAAGTGAACAGGTCAATAAGACTCCAACGACGATCGAGGCACAACAATTAAAAGCTTTTCTTTTATCTGCCAGATCCCACATAACAATTCCCCCTTTAAAATCTAACTGGTTAAAAATGAAACCGAAAGAATATTAAGAAAAAAAATAGTCTAGATGTCAAGTGCAAACATGTCTGAACTGACGTCCGAAGTCTTAGAAGTTAAAAACTAAAACTACCGTAAGCACATAATTCCGTTCTAAAACAAATATATAGATGTAAAAATGTCTGCACTGACATCAAAAGTCTTATTTAGTAGTCAAAACAGCTCGCCCAAAAAAGACCAACTAAAAACTACGGAGAGAACCTAATTCCGTTGTCCACAAAATATTTATAATAAGCATACGCATGACAATTTTAAGCCGCGACAACGCTAGGGGGCGCTATCAACAAACAGTTACATCACATCAGCATAGTCCATGATATAGGAGAGAGAGAGGAAAGCACAAGTCATGAATAAACATGAGGCATCGTTTTCCAATCAAATCTCCAATTCGCACATTGCTTGACACATTCTGGCAATAATGAATCAAATATCTTTAACCTATAAATATGCATAGCCTATTTTTAATTGTTTTGCGACCTTGGCCAATGATAAGCTCGCTTTGTATGGCTCCATTCTCGTTACTTCATTTACATCTCTTCTTACCCAGTCATTGAATGGCATCCAATGCCGTCTGTAGTCGCCAGAATAATCGTTCAGTGTACCATTATTTCTTATGGTAGATATTTTGTTCAATTTAGAGACGCAACTCCTTTCTACCATACACTTGTCATCGTTTTGCAACGTGAACATTTCCATCAAATTTTGTCACTATTTTTCTTTGACAAATAGGACAGCTGAGCTAAGACAGTTATTAATTTTGTTTTACTTTTGTAAAAGGATATTGAGGTAAGAGATGTACAAAAACCTTGAAAATGAGGATTTTTTTTTAGTCCTGCCTCCCTCGAGAGATATTTAGACACCGCTAATGCCGCTGTTCATAGCAGCCATTTTTTTTTATAACAGTTAGGATTTTTTTCTTGCACAAACCTTGATTTGACTGCATGAAGTTGGAAAAAGTAATCTTATAAGGGATAATTACCAGGTAAGACACATTTATATCAGCCTGTGCAACCGGTTATGCTCTAGCAACAGAGCTACTCGACTCATAAACTCATCAACCGGCCTGACATCCGAGATAACAAGTCATGGCTAGATTACTCCGATGACCTGACGAATTGTTGAGCGACACTGGACACTATGGGCAAGCTAGGTGAACTGATTGTGGAGAAATCGCACTGAGATCTTCGCCCGAGGGCCTGTCACATTACAATTGTTGATGGAAGAGATCCAACCGTAGACGATGTTGCCAAAGTTGTGACAATTTTTGCAGAAGAAGCTAATGACCCTGTGTTCCATGGCTGGGCAGGCGCGAATTAAATGCGCACTCTGTCGTTTGAATTGACCAGTCGGAAATTGCTGTTATTATGACGTCATTGGCATTTTTTTCATACGCGTTTTGTATCATGCAAAATTACATCTGATTATCTTCAGGAAGTAATTGGTGAATGAATGGGTGAAGTTCGAAGTGATTTCTTATTAAAAGTTTGTTACTTTCCCCTCATTTCCATATGTAAACATCAGGGCCCAACTTTATAGAGCTGTGCTTATCCAGCCTCCGTATATTTCATATAGGCCGTAAAACCCTCGGCACAAGAGAGCTACGTACGTGTTGAGCAAAACAATTTTTCGACGCCGTTTGCTCGGCACGTAGCTCACAAAATATCCCCGTGTGCGGTGATTTTGTTGCTGAGCTGTCTGCCTCGTGAGGGTGTGAGGCAAATATCTATCCTGTTTGATTTCTCTTACCTCGCAAGGTGAAAAATTCACTGTATACGGTCAACCTGAGGTCCAATCTGAGCTAAAATTATTATAATATGAAATCACGTACTCTGTACACGTGGTTTTCGGGTATTTTTGTGCAAATCTTCTAAAGCTTGCTGGCGTTTGTCCATAGTTTTTTAAATCAAGCGACCGACAAACAAGAATAATGTGCTTTTATTGGTTACTGAATCGTTTAGCTCAGCCTGTAGCTCAGGTTGACAGCTCACAGAAAAGTTGTTCGCATCGCAAACCCAAATTCTAAAAAGAAATCAAACAGGATAGATATTTTCCTCATGACCTCGCGAGACAGAAAACTCAATTTGGGGGGGGGGGGCAATAAAAAGTGGTTCAGCCCTAAAAAAAAAAGGGGGGGGGGTCAAAACAAATACGGCGTGGGGTTCGTGGCCCGCTTATAAGGGCCCCGATTTTTAAAAAAAATTGGGGGGGGGGATTCTAGATGCTCTGTGGTGTGATCTGAGGCAATTTCTGACCACTTTAACACTTTAATGGTTGTGCTGAATAACTTCGCATTTCAAGACAACTAAATGCTCACCGAACTTTCTGCTTCTAGAAAATACAATCTTGTAGCAACTGCATGTGCATGATGAATGAAATGTGTACGTGCGGGAATGCGGCTCTAGCCGTCTCCCGGCACATAGCCTTTCTTTAGGCCGCGGCTATAGTCGTCAACAACCAGCAAGGTGATGTTAACCCCAGAGGAAAAAGTTGCTTAAGTCAGCGACGTCACAATTGAAATCTCTATCCGATGCACGAGGCGACGCACGGCGCGAAGCACGACGGTGCGCTGCAACGGGCAACGAAAGGGGAATTATTGACGACAAACCGCGTCGCCTCTTCAACATACACGCGACGCGAGTACACGATGCGTTGGCACGACGTCTCCGTTGCGTCGTGCCGTCGCGTCGCACCGCCGCTCCCTTGCCTACTTTCATTCGCACTCTGCATCTGGCATCGTGTCGTACATTGCGCCGTGCCGTCTCGCAGATTTTATGCCTGGACGTTGCCCCTTTTGTTGTTCATCACGTCGTCCCTCGCGACTTTTATCGCGTCGTACCATCGCACTGTGCCTTCATCAAGGTGGTTCCCATCGAAATGAGGGCGCTCGTGACGGCGCCTCTGCCATATTGCTACTTTGTATAAAATGTCTTGGAGCAATCCCAAGAAACGCAGGGTGATTGGGCTTGACACTACTTGTTAAAATTCGACGATCCCCGTCGACCAGACCCCTTGCCTTTTTCGAGAGGAGAAATCATGTTAACAAGTAAAAATGGGCGACACAAAAACGAAGCAGTTTAAGTACCTACATGACAATCGCCCCCCCCCCCCGGCCCCCTCGCCTTCCACTGACCAAGCCACGCTTCCTTAAGTTAAAGTGATTAGTTTCAAAACCAGGAATCGATGCCTTTTGCACTGTTGAAACTGTAATGAAAGTTATGGTATACTACAAATTGAAAGCTAGCTTACCGATTTACGTTTCGAAGATGCGAGTGAATATCAAAAGGTTTTTAAATTTAAGAATTGCTATGTTCTCAGTAATTATTGCATTGTAATTGATAGCTACACGACAATCTAAATTTCGCGGCAAGACTTCCGTTCAAAGGGGCACCTCGTCCCGAAATCCTCGAAAGTTTCATGTTTTGAATTGTTTACTTATTCTATTTCAAACGTGGTTGAAGGGAAACTAACGTCTTACCCTTCCCGAGAAAAGACAAAAAAAAAAACCCGGTTGTTTACATCGGACACGACGGAGTACGCACACGTTTCCCCCCGTCGTTTTCAGTCAATGTACGATACACGTTGTGTATGTCACACAAATTACACACAGCACCAATAAATGTGGTTTCTTACACGTCCGCCGAAGGCGCGCACTTTACGGCTCGAATCACACCTAGCATGAACAGCCCAACTTTTTGGGGTCGCAAAAGTTGATCCCGAAAGTCGTTCTCGCACGCATAACACAAAAATAACACAAAACGTCCAGTTTTAGTTGTGTGGATGTTTGGATGCTAGTTTTAAATGGTCTTTCCGATTAACATTATTTCGTTCAAAGCGCGTGTCCTCTTTATACTCAAGGGCAAATGCATCTCTCCACAACAACATCAGCCTTTTTTTGGTCACAGTGTCCAAAAATGTTGTTTTGAGTAATTGACCATTGTGCAGTGAGGGCGTGTGAGGAAATATTTAATGAAACATCTGCATTAAACAATTTCAAAATTTACTTTCGTGCTTATGTAGTTATTTAAAAAAATTTTTTTGAGAAGGACATTTTTTGGGATATTTATCCTGCAGGGTTTTTTTTATTCCATACCTATGGGCTGCATTCCCTGAATGCGCTTCCGCATATCTCATCTCATGCACGTCACGTCACGTACGAACATTTTTTTAAGCTCTGGTAGGAGCTTCTACGGGTGGTCGGTCGTTCGGTCGGTCTGTCCCCGAGAATTGACCAAAAAGATTTGACTGAAAATTGACCAAGTGCCATACCGTCGTCGGTAAATGCACTCTTGGCGAAAGTTATCGGGAAAACGGGTTTTGTCTCCATCGATGCGCATGCGCGCCTGGTATGCATATGTCCTTCCCCGGAAAATTGACCAAAAACTAGCCCCCTAAGTTTCCTATAAAATATAAGTACCACACTTTCATTTTCTAAAAAAAAACACCAAACAAAACAAATTAAATACTTTATATAAAGATTTGTGACAATTCGTAAAGTTGTTTATGAAAATGTTGATAATGGAGGCAAGATAAATGTGCGGTAATATTATAGTCACAGTGTGCAATTGTTATGGGAAACTTAGAGGGGTTATGTTTGGTCAATTTTCAGCCCGTGATTTTCGCGTGGGACGGCGGCCCGGGGCTTGTTCATGCAAGGTAGCCAGAGCTTATTGTGCACTCGCACTTGTTTCGAGACTGCGCTATGCGTGTACCATATGGATTCTAAAAGTCTATTTTTTCACCAAAACAAAACTGTATCTTGTGTTGTAAAACGGACGACAAAGGTACGCACAATAATATAAATCCTTGCTCTGTAACGCGACGTCGAAATTTCATCTTAGAAAGGATTGATTCTACAGACAACAAACTTCAAAATTGAAAGCACTGCGTCGGACGTTAAACGCATCGATTGCAGTCCTAATTTAAATTTACCTAAAGAGTAGGATATTTAAATAACCCAATTCCAGGGGTAACGATCGCGCAAGGCATGATGGGAACCACCATAAGGCAGCAAGATCGTACAAAAGGGAAACGAGGTTTTTCGGACACGGCCGAAGCAATTCCGATCTAGCTATTTATTCTTTCTGTTATTAATGCGCGGAGCACGACGCGACGCACGACGTCAAGCACGACGCCACGGACGACCCGACCATAGATAAACGTGAATCCATCGACCAGAATTATTTGTCACTGTGGTGGTGCCAAGCTCACGTGAATGCCCTACGCGTTCTTAACGGGATATTGTGTTTTTTAAGGGATACTACGTCCTGAAATGCGCCCAATTGGGCTACAAACGCGTTCTCTAAGAGAATCATGCGAGAATGAATTTCGGGAGTCAACATTTTGACTCTCGAAACTCGAGATCGTCGATGAACTAACTCCAATCAATGAACATTGCTAAGGTTACCGTGGAAACTGTGTGATTACAGCAAGCGATATTCCAAACATAAGGCTCATCGTGCCAGGGAGTGGTGCTCTGCCCGTTTTGATTGCAGATATCATAGTAAAGACCTGCTGGCTGGTTATGACAACCCCGCGTAAAATGTGGGTCTTCAGTTGGACTCTGTGGTATTTTAGTTCCCTCTGTATTCTACCTGTACGAGGGAACACGTGTAGTGCCATGGTCCAGGCTGCACCTGGTGATGATCTGACCGCACTTCGTAACAAGGCTTTCGCGTCTTTCAGAACCCAGTGCTGTGGTAAACAAGGTAAGTAATTATACTCCATAAAAATGTGTTGAAAGCGCCTTTTTGCCTTGTGGAGAAATCTCAGAAATATTGTGGTTTTGCCAAATTAGAAGCATGCGGTTTTTTTATTGCAATAAAGAGTACTCTGATTGCAAGCTAGCCAGATTTTCTGAAATGATCTGTTTGCTATCGTTTTGCGATACTTAAGCAAATAAGGAGGCAACGCATCAAGTGTTAACATGGAGCTTATCGAATAGACATTCAAAGGACCGTGCAATGGAGTTTTTCCCATGACTCGAATTTCTTGAAATGCAATTAATGTTTCGAACTTCAGGTTTGCTTGGCTTTTCCGCCAACTTTGCATATTGGCTTTTCCACCATCATCGGAAAAGCCATTGTTTATCTTCTGATTTTTCGTGTGGCTTTCCCGTATAGTTGCGGAACGTCTTCTTCTTGTTTCTTTCTTCATGAGTCAAGGAGGGCGCTGTAAGATCTCCCGGCTTAACATCGCAAAGGGGTGCACCCAATCTAATAATTTCCCATAGACAACAGTGTAAATGCCCATACTTCAAAACTAGTTTAAACATACTCAAAACCCCCATGTGTTCAGGCTGCACAGAAAAATGGTGATCAACATGTCATCTTTCATTTTATTTCAATTTTTGTTGGGTTGACAGATGACTTCTCGAGACATTCAGTACCCAAGAAGACGACCCCTAAAATGAGTGATGTTTCCCAAAGTAGAAAAGTAGCCATCTTCAAAATGATCGCTGCAAAGCATGGCTCAATACATATTCAAACACCTTTCTTCCAAAAGTGCGATCTCAAGAATCGTCGTCAAAATTGTCTTCCAACGTCACCAGCGATAAAACCTCAGTATCAAAGTTAACAAATTCAACAAAGTCCGTATGAAGGCCCGTCTTAAAAAAAGTGGAATATACAAATCATATTGTTTGCCAAACCAGGGTTGCTAATAAAGATATTGTGCACTACAGTTGTTGCCAGTTGTTGAAACAAGTATTCTGTGTCATTTTTATTTGTTCCAAACAGTCAGAATGCACACTAATCTGGTTTTCCTTTTTTTTACGAAACAGGTTTTAGGGCCATTGCTTTCAAATGGTCATATTCTTTGAACGGATTTTTGTCATTTTTTTTTCACCTTAAAGTAGTTTATAAAATTGGCTTTCCAGTCATTGTTATGTTACCTGCTTTTTTGTTTTTATTAAATATGAAATATGATTTTGGAGTTTGGGTTTTGCTTTTTATAATTCACCCCGTAGCGCCACTTTCGGGTCCGATTGCATCAAAAATGTCTAAATTGGAAGCCCCACGTCCGGGATAGATGTGTATTGCCATATCTCTTCATTTTCCCCGATTCGATGGCTCTCAGAACCCTCCAATATAGAGCAAATTGAGTGTATGACTTTTATTTATGAGCTCGGCGGACTGATATTTGGCCTGTATATGTACCGGTTTGCACCCATAGGTCTACTAAAAAAAGCCGGATCCAGCATAATATCCACTAGACCTTTTTTTACGCATTATCAGCCATGTTGTTGCGAAGGCCTTAGCGTTGCTGTTGTTAGACAAAGATAGTTCTATTACGTACTAGGACGCTACAGGCAGAAAGGTGAAATTCATGCACCAAAAAAAAAGGCTGTTTCGGCTGGTTGCCGAAACAGCCAATTAACCAATTTCCACTTTGACCAGGGTCAGTAGCAGTGCAACGAAGGAATACTTACAATGGGCAGTTTGGCTGTTGGGCATGGGCACAATATGCTTTTTTGTAAATGTTCGCATGACGATCGTCATATTACGTTGAAAACTTCGTACAAAAACAAATTGTCAATATTTGGATGTATTCCTACTTTGCCGGACAGTATTGGAATTCCCACTTTGCCCAGCCGGACAAAGTAGGAATTCCAACTTTGCGCGGATTCCCACTTTTCCCGCTACACCGGCATTATCTTGGGAGCAACCTGCGATAGACCTGCACCCCATCCAGGAAAAAGTAAATATTCTCTGTCGTTTTATGGTACTGAATCAGGAGATAAACGCCGACCTTATATGCCATACTGGCTCGGGTCAGAGTTTTAGACTGCTATTAGGCAACATTCGACGCATAAGTTGAATGAAAGATTTTGTAACTTCTGTTCTTCCCCAAAACAATTATGGAAAGTGTCCCCGCCCCTACAAGAGACCGTTTGTGCAAAATTGTGAGTCAAGGTAATATTGTTGACTTATTTTTGTCTTTTTTTTTTACTGCAAAAACATAAATGATTCTCATTTTGGGCTTATTTTGCCTTTTTCCCAAATAGACGCTCCCAAAAAAAGTCAGCAAAAGATGGATATGTACATTCTTGAGTTTGGCAAAAAAAACCCAATCATCTGGGGTTATTAAAATGGCATCAGGTGGATTTGGGTTTTATAGTGTTTTACTAATAATCCCTGAAATTTTAAAAGAATATACCCAATATATATAAAACAGCGACCGTGTGGTGCCCGATCCGCACGGTCAAGGACAATTAATTTCACTCAAAAGCGTGATCACTGAAGCCTTTCGGTGTTTTATGGTGTCATTTATAATAACCGCCGGAATATAAACAAAGGAACGCAGTCATCAAGTGCTTGCTTTCTGCCTCATTGCTTGCCAATATTGTTGACGCTATTTAATATGAATTTAACGATTTTCCTCCATCGTGGATTTTTAATGATGATTTTGAACTAATTAAATGCAAGGCCAACAGAATCGGTCCAAGAAGTGAGTTACTGAGACCTCACAGTGTGTACAATTATTTTATATCATCAGATCCGAAAGTCACATGGAGCAATGATAATTATAAAAAAAAAAGTATTCAAACGATTCGAGACAGTGAGGTACTGATAAAGGGAATGATTCAGTCGTTGGTTAAAGGTATAGTCAAACATTTGTAATTTGTGCATTTTTGTTCGTTTGAAGCAACAAAAGTGCTTAAAATCTAAAGAAGGGTACTAAACATTCAACCTGATGAAGTTTAAGCTCAGCTTCAAATGTAAATTCCGAGAAAAACAACATTTTAGGGTCTCGATTTCAAATCAAAAGTTGCTGAATCATGTTTTGAATTGGGACTGAATTCAGCGTTCGAAACATGCTCTCAGAGGTTTCGCATGCAAACGGATACGTTTAGTGCGACGGATACGTCATCAGTTATGACGTCATGCGCCACTCACTGTCCGCTAAATGTGCAGACGACACGTATATCTCGCTCGCTACACGTAAGTAAAAAAACGGATACGGATAGCTAAACGTAAGTGTAAGCGTATCCGTTCGCTTGCGAAACCTCCCGCAATGTCTGGCACTGATCCGACGAATTATAGCAACCGCGCGTGTGTCTTAAGAAGCACCGTTGGAAAGGCCTTCTTTTGTTGATTTCTTCAAAATGACAGCTTGCCAAAGAGAATAATTTCACAGGGAGTTTAGTCCCCTTACTTTCTTTCAACCAAGTATGTTTTTCAACAATAATTACGTCAGTTACTTTTTGAAAAGCTGCAAATGATGGACTCTGGCTTGAAGGCAAACATTGGCTGAATGCATCTTAAAGTATGAAGAATTCAGCACAGAAAAGGTATTCCTTTTCAACAGTAAGACAAATGTAAGTGTGTTTTTTAAATAAAAATCTAAAACCATTTTTTATTAGTATCTTAGAAGGCAACATTGCCATGACCTTTTTGGTAATATTGCTTTCATCTAATTGGATCTGAAAGTGAGCCTCGTTCATTTATAATACAGTAACTCCGGGAAAATACACAAAAGAGGCACAACAATTAACTGCATGCTAGCTTTTTGCCTCGTCTTCTTGCCCAAATGTCTATTAGGCATCGATGAAAATACATATGTTAAGTCAAATTCTCCATGAAATTTCCATTGTATAGTTCACTGAAGCGCAGAGCCAACATCAAAAACCCAAAGCAGATTACTCCCTGTACTTTTGTTTTTTTCATCACAGAGTACGCGCAACCCTTGGGATAACCCGTTGGATACGCACCAATGGCGGCGATTTATAGGCAGGATTTGGAGGGTACAGCGGCGCCGACAGACGAATCTCCGGGGGGGGGGGGGAGATTGCCATGTAGGCATATATTAATGGTTCGACCTTAGCGGTAGCCCGCTAGCAAAATGCGAGTAAAAACACGCATTTTGCAGCCCAATTGGGCGCATTCCAGGACGTAATTCCCTTTAGAGACAACACATCCTTAGAAACAACACATCTGATACTGACGCGCATTCGGCTTGTTTCATGTCGTTACGCCTTCGAGTCTTGCGCCGAAATTGCTGGCGTTAATTAAAAGAAAACATGGCATGGATCTGCGTTTCGTACGGAAGCATTTTGCTTCCAACAAAACAAAAGTGCACAATAACACCCAAAAGAAAAAATCGTTTGTTTCCGATTACATGGCATTCGAAAATAGGGTAGGTAGGAAGGGATTTGTTTTGTTTTGCATTTTTTTTGTGTACGACCATATCGAGGCGTTTGCGTGTAGTCAAGGGTAAAAGGTAGTAATTAATAGTTTTGGGTCTTTTTGCTCATTTTTCCCATAAGAAAATTTAGGGTAGGGGCTGTCAGAATAGGGTAGGTAGGGAAACCGGAAGCAGAAAGGTTTTTTTTTTTGGGGGGGGGGCCTAAGCTCTGGTCGTCTTGCATGAAAGTCTTGCATGAAGAAAAAGAACTTGTCTGCTATTAAATTAGTATCTAACTGAAAAATAGTGAGTAAGAGGATCGTTTGAAGTCGTGTAAACATTGATTACCTCAGATTGTTGCGTAAGAAAATAAGCATAAGCTGTGTCCGTCTTACATGAAAGTCTTGCATGAAATGATTGTGCGTACGTACGTTCAAGCTCGGGCCGCAGCCGCGCAACATCATAGTTGTGGACAAGTTTCATTTCCTCCTTCTGGATACCCTCCAACCACTACACAAAATACCACGTGACTATAGCATTACTGCACATAATGTACCTCCGTTTACCATTTGTTCTTGAACAACTTCACAAATTGTCACAAATAATTTAAGAGTGCATTTACTGACGACGGCATGGCATTTGCTCAATTTTGGTAAAATCGACCGTCCGACCGACCGTCCGTCCGTCCGACCGACCGTCCGACCAACCGACCGACAAACCACGAAGTGACATGTTGAAGAGCTTACCCAAAAAAAATAATAATAAATAAATAAAAACGAAAAGCGACTTATTATCTCGTTTAAATGACTTATTAGAGAGGTTTCACATACAAACGGTACGTTTAGTGCGACGGAAACGTCACCAGTTATGACGTCATACGCCACTCACTATCCGCTAAACGTGCAGACGACACGCATATCTCGCTCGCTACACGTAAGTAAAAAACGGATACAGATAGCTAAACGTAGGTGTAAGCGTATCCATTCGCTTGCGAAACCTCCCTAATAATCTCGTTTATACGACTTATTGTCTCATTTAACCGACTCATTGAGCTCGTGTATAAACGAATTATTTATCTCGTTTAAACGATTTATTTATCTCATTTGAACGACCCATAGCTCTCGTTCAAACGAGCCGTATACTGTTAAAATGACATTAGCGCTACTAAGGTGTTCCAAATCTGCCATCTTGCGTCAAGCTTCTGATGTGGATGACCTGATCTTTGTGTCGCGTGTTGTAATATGTAAATTTGCAACAAATATCAAACCTGTTACATACAGAGAATTGCATTCATTCACGGACCGCGAGTGAAACATGATGATCACTCCTTGAAACTCTTCGTCAGATTGAGCTACAGCGTCAATATACAAATCGAAATCCACAAACATACCAAGTTTCATGACACATTTCCAAGATGAGGAGAAGGTAAAATCCGCGCCCGGCCATGATGTCCATACATGCAGGGGAAACAAATGATTGTGATTGTTTAAATGAACCCCGCCCCACTCTGATCGATTTTTTTTTTAACTTCCTACGACAGATGTTTTGGAGTGCTCTGAGGTGGGACCCCTTGGGATGGAAGATGGACGCATCCCAGATGCAAGCATCACAGCATCGTCAACGTTGAACCCGGCCGATTTCGGACCCGCAATGGCCAGAGCTTGGCTTAACCTTCAAGGTTATGTTATATTCGTTCAACAGTTACATAGGATAAAGAATAAGACAACTGAAAACAAAAACAATTCTTCAAAGTTGACCAAAAAAATGCCAAAAGCTTAAAACTCTCCTCGGAGGGATGGTGCTCAAAGTAAAGTCTGTTTTGCTCAATTTTATAATTACGCATTTTCTGGTCAGATATTTTCACAGGTTTCACAAATCGCTCATGCAAACGAAGCAAAGTTGCTCATTGTTGCTAAGCACAACATTATAAAGCACATAAAGGGGGAATGGTTACCTGCAAAAAGTCTGTGTATTGCTTGTGACTGTTTCCATGCCGATTTTTGATTAGCACATAAAATTGGCCAGGCAACGCTTTCTCCTTATTAATCGCTTACTTTGCAAGTATGGCGGCCTCTCTCTTGTGTCGGTCCAAATGATCCAGAAAAATGTCATTTTTGAGACCAAAAAGGGTCATTTTGAGCAGAAAAGGGTATATTTTGACTTGGAAAAGGGTTGTGCAGATATAGACGCAGATCCTGGGTCAAGAGTTTTAACAGTGTAGTACTTGTGGCAGGTTCTCAGTTTCTTCTTAGTACATCAATTTGTTGAGCAGTTTTTTTATGCTCAGCATGTTTGATTATCTGCTTATTCTGCAGTCACAGGCGGAGCCACAGCCTGGTGTAATGCTGGAGCTCGTGATACCAATCCATGGATCCAGGTCGACTTCAGTTGCAGTGTGGTCATCACTGGCGTTATCACCCAGGGGCGTGGGAATAGGAACCGTAACCAATGGGTGACAGAGTTCAAAGTGGCATTCAGCGACGATGGCCAAGAATGGACCGACGTCACTAATAATGGATCAAGTACACCGATGAAGGTAGTCTATGTTTGCTATACTTAATTGGATGTCTTTCTCTGACTAAGAATTGAGTATAAATAGGCTATCGTTGTTTACAAATGTATAAACACAATTACTCCTCTGTATATGACGAATCTGTTTACACCACTTATTCAGACTCGTGAAACAAGACAATTCACTGAAAAGACACTGAGGAGTCCTATTGCGAAAAAAATCAAGAATGTTATGCCACAAGCTTTGCTGTAACTGGTACAATCATATGGAATAACTTGCATGTACAGTTAAGGGACATGACTTCTCTAACCTCATTCAAATCTGAACCACGTAAAACATTCGGCCAGTAAATATTTCTGCATTTATGTGAGCATTAAATTTCTTGTTGTCGCTAGCGCTACCTTTACTGAAAATACAATTATAAATATGTGCTGACTTACGGAGTTAATGCACTTGGTTGCATAATAATAAGGAACCGGATGGGAATTTTCCCGTTTTTTCTCCCAAAAGGGGTTTTCACGGGCTTGTCGCCCTCCCATATTCAGCGAATGTATAGAAATACACATGTTTATTTTACTCATGTCATAAGAAATTTCCAAACTTCCTCGTGTTAACTTAAATCACCTTTAATAGCACTGTCGTTTCAAACTGTATTATGTTGCTTTGTAATGTTGTACATATTTTGAAATAGTTGCTTTACAATCATGCAGTAATCTCGTATGCTTTTATTTTATTTTATTGTGTGTATTGTATTTGTAATGTATTGTACTTGTACATGTGTGTTTAAACATCAGTAGTGTATGCAGGGCCCCATTTGAAACCAGTTTTAAACTGCTTGGGCACACCCTGGGTAAAGAAATGTAACAATTAAATAATAACATTGTTCTGTTTGCCCTTTCAATAATGACATTTCACAAACACTGTATACTCAGTGTTGTCCGAGGGTTATGAGATAAAATTCACAAGCTCACTTAGTCGGTTGGGACTAGAACCCACGAACTCCTGTTTACGGGTTTTTATGGATGGATTGAAATTAAGCTAGATCAGATTCGAACCCGCCACAGACCCAGGCAAGCTTGCTGGTCGAGTGGTAAGACATTTGCACTAGTAAGCACAATGTCGTGGGTTCCAGTCCCACCCAAGTAAACATCTGTCCCTCGTCGTTTTTGATTTAAGAGTACACAAAAATAAAGACAGCATACTGAGAAGGGAAAAGGGCCAACTTGGGATTTGCTGTCATATCGACTTATGTTTCCTTCCAACCATTTCCCACTCAACAAATCTGTTGTCTTGCCTTAGTGTTCTAAATACGTTAAATCCTTAATCATTTTACTGATTCTACAAAGCCCTGAAAACTAAGATTATGCATGCCGTAGGACGTGGGCTCCCTCTATCGCTCCTGAAACCGTGTGACTGCAAGGGAAAACTCATCCCCATTAACCTTTCAACGCTGGTTTAAAAAATCGTGTTCATATTGTTTATTCCACAGTTCCCTGGAAACTCAGACCAAAACACCCACGTGACCACCACCTTCCCGAAGGCTTTCCAGGCCAGGTTCCTGCGTATCCTGCCTACTCAGTGGAGCTCACACTGCTGTATGCGCTTTGAGGTCCTCGGCTGCACAATTAATGAGTAAATTCCATCAATGCTAGCTTGGTAAAAACCTAGCTCTAGTGCTCGCTGGAAATTCGACAAATTGCATTAAATGCAGTAAATTGCAGTTACCCCGAATCGTACCTAGCGATTTAACAAGAAAATCCTCGCTCAAAAGGAAGAAAGGACTGCTAGCAAGTTTCCTGCCTGAAAAGGCATAATTCGAAAGAAACAATCTTTGAAGGTGATTTCATAAAGATCTGCCCACATCAGGCACAGAGTGTTCCATTCAAAAATGTAAGGCACATAGCAACAGTTGCAATTACCCTGAAATGTACCTATCGATTTTAACAAGAAATCCTCGCTCAAATCCAAGATAGAACTCGTAACAAGTTCCCTGCCTGAAATGGTATCATTCGGAAGAAATATTCTTTGAAGGTGATTTTATCAATATGTGCACTGTTCTGTACGTGCGCTAGCAATGCAGTCCATTTACAAGACTCCATTAATGTTGCATTTGTTCTCAAAATGTGTAGTATCCACTGAGCTGCAAATTCAACGAGTTTAATAGTTGTTATGCACCCTTCTCATGATTTTGATAGATTTTGTTGTTAATCTAAAAACAAATGCTCAAAAGCAAAAGAGACGTGCACTTTAAGTGCTCCTCCTGAGTCCCCAATATGGACGTCCGGACTTGTTCCCACCTCCTACATTCTGAGTGAGGGCTATGATGGAGGGACCCGGAACCAGTCTAACGGTTAACCCAGATTTAAGACACAGACTCTTCCACAGTTTTGAATTGTCAAATTTCCCAATGTGCTTTAAAGGCAAGAATTTTCCATGCTATATTGATGCCGACAAAAGAAATCATTTGGGTAAAAACTGATGTTTAACAGGTTTTTTTCAGATTTTTTTAGATTCTTAGTGGCTTAATCAGTAATAATATACAATGACATGTATTTACAATTTAAATTGTGAAAAGGGTATTTTGGAAGACCCGCTAGAACATGGAATTGTTTTCACTCAAAATACAATACTCTTAAATGTGCACTTTTGGCCGGTTGCAATCTTTTGGGCTCTCAAAACGTATTTCTCTCGAAATAATAATCATTGGAAAGATTGATGACAAGTAGAATAATAAACATGCACACAACTATACCTTAAAAGTGACGGTTTAACTTTTGCGTTGAAATTCAAAGGAGGGGCAAAAAATGCTGCCGCGCCAGATGTAAACGAACGGACGTTTTCAACATTTTCTCTGGAAATGTCAGACATTTTGCACAGGACTTTCTGGGACCCATAAAGTACCAAGGTTTGACAATCTCCGGATGAAAGTGCACCTTAAACTTGGATAATGAATTCAATCGTCACAAACTATTATCCTTGTTGAAGTATGGTGCACACAATAAAAGGACGCTATTTGAAGTCGGTGAATTTGAGTCAATACAAAAGAGTTTACCCACTCAAAATCGCTTCGTAAACCCATGGACAAATATTATTCAATAGGCACTGCAAACAATTTTGTTCTGCATAGGACTTTAAAATTCCAATGAATATTGCATGAAACTGTTCAAATGTCCAATATAGCTTATTTTATTATATTAGCAAATCTGGTATACAACATTTTCTTATGTTATAAGTGGGCTTAATTACATAAATTCTTACTCTTTCTTAATTGTCCTTTTGAACATAGTTAAGCACGTAGTTCAGTAACTGGTGGAAATAGATTTAAAAAAAAATAATAACTGGAAATATTTTTTCAGTAAATAGTTTTCTTTTCTTTCTCTTTTTTTTTTGAAACTGTCAAAATATCATGAAATATCCCATTTTATTGTAAGTAAATAATAGGATTAAACATCCTGTGAAATGCGTTTAGTATGCTGTCTTTTGCCATACAAGAGGAATAACCATCATTTCCTCGCGATGGGTAGGACCAAACCCTCAAACTGTCAACGGAAACATGCTTTGCGTGAGCAAAATGAAAATGCATTGTCACAGTTTTCTCAAAAGTATGACAAGTCATCTACTGTTAATAATTTCGACAATTTGTTTGTTTGTTTGTTATTAATAACCTGCATCCGATAGATTGCATTTATGTTATGTTTCTTGATACGCCAATAAAAAAGTGTTTGCAAATGATGGCATTAACTTAAAGCCCAATCAATTTAATAAATATGCAGTCAGGGACAAGATAGAGAAAGTTCGGCATATCATGGCACAAACCTTTTTTTCCACGTCTCTTTTCTGTGTTAAATTTATATTCATTCAATAAAAGCACTTTAGATAGAGTGTAAGCGTGCACCTGCAGTGTTGTGTTGTCTCTAGATATCATTTATTACTGTCAGTGATCTTTTGAAGTGTCTCATGGCCTTCTATGCATCTTTCTTGACTATTTTTGCGCTGGTCCCAGAGGGCCAGCCTAGTGCACTTTAATGCACGCACGCACTGACAGACAGACCGAACGGACCGGACTGACTGTCTCTTGTGATTTAGACTTGCATAAGCTGGACCCGACCCAACCGACCCAATCCGACCTGACCTGACTGACCTGACCTGACTTGACCTAACCTGACATGAATGTCATTTCCTGACCTGTGTATCTTTCAAGGCTAACTTTGCGCTGGACCCAGAGGGCCAGCCTAGTGTGTTCTAAATCACGCACGCACGCACTGACCAACAGACAGGACTGACTGGGTTTTTTAAAAATCATTTTTCCATTCATGGAAGCTTCAGTGGCGTAGCTAGAATTTTTTGAGTGGAGGGGCACGGGGGGGGGGGGGATCAGAATATCATGTGGGCACATATCGCAAACTTCCTATTGCAGTATTTCCCAGTTGGGCCCTATAATGCCTCGCTATATTCATTGACATAAGAGATTGTAAAAGGTAGGCCTTTGGCTAACTGAAAAAAAATACAAATTACAAAAACCCTTTTCAGTATTTTGGTGGGGGGCATCTGGGGAGGGGCACGGACAATTTGTGGGGGGGGGGAGCAAGTGCTCACCCCCATGCCCCCCTTGGCTACGCCATTGGAAAGCTTCATCCTCTTCAGGGCGAAGGACTAGACAGTTTCATCAAATCCGACTTTGCACAACACGGAGGAAATTCTAGGTAGTATTCATCCAAATCCTTCCACGCCCGAATTCTTGTCACTCAAGCAAGAATGTGACATAACTCGAATCAACGTGGCTATCTTAAAGACTTGCCTCGAGCACTGCCTTCAAAGCACTAAATGTGATTCGAGTTACTGCCTTAAAATAACTAAACTCAAACAGCCACTTTTTTTTAGAATGAGTCAATGCCTCTGGGCTACTGCCTTCGAATGACCAACTCGAGTCACTGCCTTAGAACTATTTAACTTTTATCAATTACTTAGAACGACTCAACTTGAGTCACTACCTACGAATACGCAACTTGACTCGAGTCACTCCTCAGAATTAAACTTCCATTATTTCCAAACGACTCAACCTGAATTTGAGTCATTACTCAAGTCTCTGTCTTAGAACGACTCTACCCAACTTAAGTCACTGTATTCTTACTCATTTTGAGTAACTGCAAATAGTATCACTCGACTCGACTTGAGCCACAATATTCACGGACTCATTACAAGACTGCTAGGGCTACTGAAGGAACACAAACATTGTATACCTAAAGAGTCGATGATGCCAAATCGCGACTTAATTTACATCCCTTTTTACCGATGCAATGAATTAGTCGCCAGAATATCGTTCAGTGTATTATTCACTCTTATGGTCGATATTTTATTCAAGCTAGAGGGCGCTACTCCTTTCCACCATATGCTTGTCATCGTTTTTTCAACGTTAACATTTCCATCACATTTTGTCATTATTTTTCTTTGACACTAGGACAGCCGAGCTAAGGGAGTGATTAATTTTGTTTTACTTTTGTCAAATGATATTGAGGTGATTCACGATATATAAAGAGTGTGAAAATGAAGATTTTTGTTATGAAAAGAGTAGAACCTGTATTGTTTAGGTCCTGCCGCCTCCGAGAGATTTTAGACACCGTTGGTGACGCTGTTAATACTAGCCATTTTCATAGTAGTTAGAGTTTTTTGTTCTTGCACATACCTTGGTTTAACTCATACTTATGGATAAAACCAGCCATCTTATTAGGGATAATCACCAGGTTAGACACGGTTATATTAACCGGTGCAAACGGTTATGGGTCCTTCCATGTCAGACCAACGCACTTTTTTTTACCTCATGTCTTCTGATTTTGAAAAAAATTGCTGTGCTTGTAGGTTCTAATGTGCAATTTTCTTCACGCAAACTTGACGTCGAATGCGTACATTGTACGTGGTGAGGGATGTAGGTGCATAGTGTATCGGGCCGTTCAGCAGCAAATAAAAAAACACAATACATACATGTACATTCGATATCTGGGGTGCAATATAGCTCTGCAGTATTATATCAAATCATACTGTTGTTGCTTTAGATGGACTAATCAGGGTCTAGGATTCAAGATTGCTTGAAGATATAATACTAAATTTCGCAATCAAAGTTACCTTACTCATTCATCACTGCGCTTCTTGAAATTTAAAGAGTCTCAGAGACTTGGCAATTTTTTACTTCGAGATAAATTTCACCTGGACGTGTGTCCACTGTACTGGATCCGGGTAGAAAGCAAAGAGCTGTTGCGTACCCTAAACAGTAACTGCTGATGACAATCGACTCTCAAGCATTCGACGTCAAGTTTGCTTGAAGATAAATTCGTTAGCTTGCGCTCGTGGAACACGGAATAATGTAGTGCGTCAAGTCGCATATGGGTCACAGCAGCAGCGCATTGTTTTATATTCCAAGCGCGCTCATGGGATAACTAATTATCAGTGGCACCCCTGGGTGGGTGGGGGGGGGGGGCTCAATTCTAAGCGCACTCGTGGGAAAACTAATTATCAGTGGCACCGGGGGGGGGCCTCGAGGGGCTGGACCCCCCCCCCTCCAAGGTTGTCAATTTGTTTGTTTGATTTTTGGAATTTTTTTTGTCAATCTTCTACAGAAATTTGAAAACAAACAAATTATGA